ACAGTTCAGCTTGTGTTATTGGCTTGGTTCGAGAGATTGGCCAAAAGCAGAGACCTTCACACTTTGTTTATTTATTGGCCACATTGCGTAGGTTGTAGCTGTGTGCCTTTCGTTTGGCTCTGGCCCAAACTCTTTAGCCAGACGAATTTGCTTAGCACTTTGTGTTGACGGCCCAGAGGTTTCCTTTCCTTTGACTTGGGAAAAGGCTCGAGGCGTTTGTGCACTGTTTGCTGCTTAGAGTCGCAAGTTTCGCAAAAACCTTAATCGCATAAACGAGGCACTTATGATAGAGCGGATATGGCCGAGGAAAAAGCTTGGCTAAATTTGATCTGCTTATCAAATATTTTGCAGCTAACTTTGATTTATTTTATATTATTTTTTATTTGGCATTCGCAGCGTGCTGATGTTAATCAATTTGCGCAAATTAAAAATTAATTGCAAATTTATTGCTTTTAATTTTCCAATCGTTGATTTATGCCACCAGAAATCGCACCAACAACAACAGTGGCAATAACAACAACAACAACAACAGCTGCAACTGCACATTGCCCTACAGTTTGTGCCCCTGTTGTGGCGGCTTTGCATCGGGTGCACTTAAGATACTTCTTAAAGCTGTTATAGCTTTATTGATATTTAAGTATATATTAAGCGGAAGTGACTGGAGGTGTTGTAAAAGAGATACCCTATAAAATAGGAATGCATGTAAACTATGAAATGAACTTTGTTTCTCTCAGAAAGGATATAGTACGCAGAGAGGAAGCGGTAGAGAGACAGAGAGTGAGTGAGAGCGAGAGAGAGAATGAGAGAGAAATAAAAAGATAGATGGAAGTCCGGAGTAAGAGTAAGGTAAGGGTAATAGAGAGTAAGAATAACTAAAGAAAAATGAAGAACTAAGAAAAAGCAATAAATAAATAGAGAAAATTAAATATAGAGTGGACAATACCGAATATAGAATAGATAATGTATAACAAAAAGAGAATACGGAATAGGGATTAGTGAAAATAAAATAGAGAGTAGATAATAGAGGATAGGGAATATAGAATAGGGATTGGAGAATAGACATTTGAAAATAAACAGCAAATAGAAAACACAGAATAGAGAATGGGAATTAGAGAATAGAGAATAGAGAAAGGAGAATAGGGAATAGAGAATAGAGATTTGACAGTCGACAACAGAGATTGGACAATGGAGAGTGGAGCATAAAGAATAGAGCATGGAGTGTAGAGCATAGATAATAGAGAGAGTGAGAATATAAATAGTAATCTTCTTAAACTCTTACACCATGCGAGGAATAGAGTGAGGAGAAAGAAAAAGCATGATCTTTTACCAAATTTTGAAATTTTTATGAGCAGAGCCACACTTTTTAACTTCCTTTTACTTATTGCTGTAACTCTATCCTTCTTAGCGTTCCATTCTTGCTCAGCCTTTTAGAATATTTTCATGTGTAGCAAATTATATTTCTTATAGTCAGATATACCACACTCGATCACATTTAGTTTATTACAGGGTATAGCTGTGCTATCGCCGTGCACTATTCGTAGGTTTTTTTTTTAGCCGAAAACCAATAGCAAATGATCATTAAAATAAAAGCAGTTCAGCTTGAGCTCGTTTTTGGCCTTTGAGTTGAATCGGAAGCCGCGTATCAATGTCATAAATAATATTTAAAATTGCATGGGGCGTTTAAACATTGACAATTTGGCCGTGTGGGGTGCCTCATATTAATTTAGCTGCGTGCTGGGCTAATAATGATATTCCAATTGATACGCTTTTGGAGCAGTCCAAATTATTCAAAAGTCCAAATGCCGAACGATCGGGCGAGCACAACGGCGAGTCGGGCAAGTCCCTGGCCAATTGTTTGTGGCCAGATGATCAGTGGACCATTACCACCAGGCGCGATTGCCAGCGAAAAGCAAAAAGCAAAAAGCAAAAGCAACAAAAACAATTTATGCAGCCAGCGAAATGCAACAATAAATCTCATTTTATGCAGCGCAGAGAGAACGGCCCTTTTATAGGTAACGCTAATGTAGCCCAAAATTGAACTTGACATTTGAATGCCCAATTAACCGTGACGTGTGCGCGAGCAGCACGTCCAGATGCCCAGCCTCCAGCTCAGTCTTAGTCTCATCCCCAGCCTCAGCCTGCTCTTGGAGGAGCAGCAGCTCGCTATTTGAGGTCAAGTTTTTTGGGCATTCCAATGCGTTATGTTTTATTGGAGCAATATAGCAATGCATTGTGCCGGATGTAAGCAGACACAAATATACATATATATATATATATTTTTTTTTTTATTTATTCATATATATATATAGCTCCCCAATCAGCTTTGGCTGCTAATTAACCCACTTTCTAAGAGCGCGCGACCTTTTTTATCTGCGCCATTCGAATCAGGGGCCAGCCATGTGCAAAATTTGCCTGCCATTAAAGAGAAGGAGAAAATGTGCTCAATGGACATTAGATATTGGACACTGGACATTGGCCAGTTGGCCATTGGTCTGCATGCGATTCTCACGCATGCCAAATGCGCAATGTGGGTATTGCATGCGCGTCGTTGGCTGGTCGTTGTCTTCCTCCTTTGGCATCGTCTATAAAATCACGATAAATATTTATACCGCACTTAGATTTATGGTGATTCATATCGCTCCAGCAGAAGTCAACGGCCAATGGGCATTGGCGGGACGGCGACGGCGACGGCGACGGCTGCATGGGCTATAAACATTTTTATTAGCCATAATTGCACAATCCAATCCAAGCGACTGATTCATTTGCGTGCATTGGCCAAAAGCGTCAAATCGCCAGATATGAATATGTTTATTAAGTGCCTGCCAAACTTGTTGCATTGCATTTGTCAGCAATCTGGACGGGTCGCAAGATTTCGTTATCTAGACTTAGCCTTGACACGCTACACACAATCGATAAACGGCCCTAACGGTCTTTATTTCCCCTCTTTTTTGTGGTTAATAGCGGTAATCGTAAATGGCCTGAAAACTGTTTCGCCAGCACATAAAATTCAACATTTAAATTAATAGAATTTTGTTCGCTAATTTTGTTTAATAGCCCAACCCGCGGCCTCACGATCACCTCACGATATGCACATATATATATACTGATACATGTACATATATATATTTCTACAAATTCATTTGACTATAAAGAATTGATATATTGCCCAAAGCAGGACAGCCTTTTATTGTTTTGCTATTTACTTTTGTTCCATTAGACCAAAGGCTATGGCTCAATTAGACTTAAGGCTTACATTTACTTCAATTTATACAAACAATTTATGTATAATTTAAATAATATTTCCATTTTTATTAAATGTTTAAGCACATATTTGCATTTAAAATTGAATGTAAAGAAAATGACATTATATTACGGTGCAAACATATTCATATTGAATACTCGTTTGTAAGAAGGCAATGATTATGGGAATTATAAAATTAAAAGGATCACAATTTTCAATATGTATTCTCATAAAATATATATACAAACATATTTTGAGATTGCAAATCTGTGGGTCTTCTTCTTACAGAGATCGTTGGGTTTATATACTTATCTACTTGCTAGGTAACCACTACAATCTGTGCATATAACCTGCAGGCTTGCTATATGGTATATTTTTACAATATGGTATATGATTGCAACACAAAGATTAAAACAAAGAACATTTATGTATTGTATGTAACTCAGCTTATTGTCAGTATCGCGTAATATTTTATATTTTTTCGCATGAAATAAAAAATCAGCAACTATGCAATTGACTCACAGTGATCTCCTCTATATAGTGTCCACAGGATCTTGACTCTCCGAGATTTCGTCTCCAGATATCCTCCCACTGCAACACTAGTTGATTTATCCATACTCCGTATTTCTATTTTAAATGTGTTCAAATTCTAAAATATTTTCTTCACTTTTCCAGCTCTTATTGTTTTGGTTAAACAAACAAATTTTAGATTTTAATTTTTTTATTTTTTATTTTTTTTTTTTTGTTTTTTCAGAATTTATTTGTGTTTTTTGTCAGCACTTTTGTGCAGCCTTCAAATGACGTTTGCTATAAATATAAATAAACGCCTGATCAATGACACATTGGCAACCGTAAACTGTGATAATGTATTTGACTGCATAATTGGGCTTGGTGGTGGCCCCCGGCCATGGGAGCGTTTGGGGCCCTGTCAGGCGCGTAAGTGGCGCTAAGTGTTTTCTCTTGTTACTTACAAATGCAAATTGCCGAATGACAAAATTCATTTCAATTGCTGCAATTTATTGCATGCGCAGCCGCAGCTCGGCCGTGCTTCCTTTTGACCCAGTTTGTGAGCGCGCGTTGCACTAATACCAGGCATCCTCCTTCAATGGCCAAACTAGTTTCAAGTTATTTAACGCATGCATTGCGTGTGTCAGCAGCCAGCATGAGAGAGTGAGAGAGATAGAGACAGAGAGGGAGAGATATTTTTATACGTATACATGTATGTGTAGTTTGTGTGTATTGGAGTGCTGGCCTTGATCTAGAATTTCGATTTTTCCGATGCTTGCGATTTCGTTTGCGTTATGCGAGACGAGCATGTCCCAATGCTCAGGAGGCTGTGCAACGCGTCGTATGCGCGATGGCATCTGATCTTCGCTCGCGCCGTTGCGTAATCTCGTTTTGTGTACTAAGTACCGGTTTAAACGCACACTGGACCAGTTCACAATACATACATATATTTCGACTCATATGCATCTAAGTATGCAGCAGAGCCAATCCAAGACCTGACTCCGCTGGCGTTGAGTTTGTTTCTGCACTTATAATTTATTGAGAAATTTAATTGAATTCACTTGGCCAACCGGTCGCATAATTTTGGCCCCTGATTACGGATTGAGCAATTCGCATGACGTGTTAAACATTTGGCATTTGATTGTTCTATATATCTTTCGCAAAACAATTGGTTCTATCTTGCATCTTGATGGAAAAACAGTTGTTAGTTCGTCACGTTCCGCACTATAAAGGCAAGTTGATTGATATTTCTAGTTCAGTTTATTCTCTGCATTGAGCTGCCCCACAAAATGAGGTGCCTGACTGCCTTGGCTTTGATTTTGCTACTGGCCGACTTGGTTTTGGGCCAGGACTACGATGATGTTCAAAATAATAACTATAAGTTTAAAGCACGAAAGAGGCATTTTGAAAAAATCAATAAAGGTTCCTGAAATAAACAAATTTCGGATGACATTTGCGTTAACCTTTTGTCTCTTGCAGCCATTTGCTACTCGAAGCCAGACTATGGCAAATGCAAAGGAAATCGACAGCTCTGGTTCTTCAATAAGTACAAGATCAAGTGCGAGAAGTTCACATACTCGAATTGCGGCGGAAATGAAAATCGTTTCTATACCAAAGATGAATGCGATATATTTTGTACTGAAAAGTCCATGGAGTGGCTCAGAAAGGATACCGCCCATGTGGCTTGATTTCCATTCCTCTATTGCAATTAATTTACGCTTCTCATATTCACACATAGCTAATACCACACTTTACTATCTGTCAGAAATTTCCCGAAGTTCATCTGTAATGAAAGATTTTTTAAAGGGAAAAAGTTCAGACAGTTAAATCCGACGAAAATTCCTGGCTGGAACAGCAAAATAAAGCCGATCCAAAAGTAATATAGAATTCATATAAGCAGAAATCAACTTATACAAAATGACGGTCATAGCTAGAGACAAAAGAGTGAAATGTTAGGGACTTTCTGCTGCTATTGTTGATGAGACTTTTTGAGACCTTTTAATAGGGAATCATTATTTCGAGCTAAAATATATAATTGCCATTATATAATCTGTAAATCAGTGATAAGTGTTGGAGAGACGACATTTGAGTGCATATTTGTAAATTTAATCAACAAAACACATTTGCATTTCGAGCAGGGGATAAATAAAGCAGCCTCGCATAGAGAATAACTCTGGCAGTATACTCGTAATCTTCAGCGGATGGAAAATGAAAATGCAATGCATCAACTATTGCATACACAACTGCCAAACGAGAAGACAAGGAAAGAGGGACATATGATTTTGTTGAAAATTGAATTAAAAATAATTGAAATGCAAATATTTGGAATTTTAGGAGTAAGTTGAATATGGAATATACATATTTTGCATTTTCAAAGTAATTGAGTTTGCTTTCGTAGCTAAAAAAGCTGCAAAAGTTTGCATTCCAGTTATAAATGAAAGTTGGAAAAATGTCTTCCCAAAAACCAATGATAGTTAATATCCGATTTTTAATGTCTTCAGAGAAACTGTTAACATTAACACCAACCTACACCTACAGTGTGACACACTCTAAATTTTAGGCGTACTAAAAAGATTATTAAAGGTTTCTTATATGTTATTTCTCTATTTATTTTCTTAGCTAGCAATAAAATGTAAAAAGAATGCAGTCCCCCACAGTCCCCAACTCATAGCAACAAATGCTGTTCAAGTGAATAAAAATGTTTTTGCTTGAAACATTTTGCGCATTTGTTGCGGCAACTAAATTACGAATCGCTAGCGTTTCCAGGCACTCGCCAGAAGCGCGTTTCACTGACAAACGGCGATTTTTGGTACAATTTTTAGCAGGCGTGCAGCAGTGGGCAACAGGCGTTAAACAGCTGCAGAGTGCTTTGCTAATTTACGGCTGCTTTAAATAGACAGCAAGTGTATACACACTCACACACTCACACGCACACAGAGGCACACCAACACACGCGCATATGCGTGTAAGTGAGCAAGGGCTGGGCAAACATTGCGCTGCTTGCTCGCATTCGGAACAGGCGAACAGCTTTCGCAGCAGCGAACGCGCTCTGCATTTGTGTTTGGGCTTTTTGCTTTGTTTGACTGCTGTCGTTGTTGTTGTTGTTTTTATTGCTGCTGCTGCTGCTGCTGCTGTTGCGGCGGCTGTTCTCGCTGTCACAGCGAAAGCTCGTCCGAAAGTTTTACGTGCATGCTTACATACATATACTCAAGTATGTGTGTGTGTGTATGTTTATACACATGTATATATGCGAGTTTATATCTGTTTTCCATTGAATGGCAACAATGGCAATGGCGAAATCGAAGCATAAAGTCACGCAATTTCAATTACAAATAAACGCATAAGCAATGCCAAAGCCAAAGCCAAAGCCGAAGCCGAAGCTGAAGCCAAATGCCAGGCTGGCTGGCAAATTTACTATGGCCAATAATAATGCTTGTAATAATGAAATTGTGATAAGCTGTGCGCCACAAATTGCACGCTAGTAAACGACGCAAGAGACGCGAAATAATTTAAACCGTTAAGCGCTGGTTGCGGCGGCATCAAGCGTCGTCATTCTGGCTAGTATCATCACAGGCCCCCTCTCTTCCTCTCTCATTCACGCTCTACACCTCTCTCGTTCCCTTCCTTGCTATCGTGTTGCCTGGCAACATTTGACGCACGCCGGCAACATATTGCTGGCAACATTAGCGCGTGTGTGCGTGTGCCAGGGAATCACTGGCTGGAAGTCGGAGCTGGAGTAGAAGTCGTTGTCGGGGCAATAGCTCTGCGCTTTGGTGTTTGCCAATTAATATTCGTATGATCAACTGCTTAACGCATTTAGCCTTATAGAAAGAGAGAAAAAAACTAAAAACTAACAACAAAACCGGCTCACGTCCGACCTGTGTAAATGATCTACGTTCTCTGATGCACAGATGCGGCGAATTGATGCTGCCAAGCTGCAATCGTTTAAGCCGCGGCCTGTGGGAAAGTGCGCCTTAATTGAATTTAAGGCCGGCCAGGCCAGGCTAGGCCACTCTACATAGCAAATACAATAAATTAAATGATAAACAGACTGTGCATTCATTTAATTACATACATAATTATGCATTTATTTAGTATGAGTTTGTTGTATAAGGTTTGTCATTAGTTGTACATATGTATGTATGCATGCTGGCTGGCATGCATGTGCGTATTTGCTCAATATTTCAATAATGTTTTTCCTTTTTGTTTTTCTTTTTGCTTTTCGTATGTTTGGTAAACTTGTTTATGCAATTTGACGAAGACAAATCAGGTTTACAGGTATTTTTTGTTATTTTATTTTATTTATTTTTTTTTGGTAAACATGTTATTATTTTATTATTTTTTTTTTGCTATATTTTTTATGCATAGATCGCTATTAAATTTCATTAGTTATGCACTAGGCTGTATGTGTGTATTTGTTTGTATATAGTTCTTCGATTTGGATGTAGTTTATATAAGTGCGAATGCACATTAATTATAGTAGACTTTTTCACATGACTTAATGATTTAATGATTTAATGGATAGGTACTTCTTATGAGCATTCTTGTACCATACAGCAGGCTAACATTTAAAGCATTGCACACATTGAGAAAGATAGAGACTTGAAATTTATATTTTAATAAAATAAAAATTAACTAAAAAGTTCGTGTTTAACAAATGATAACAACAAGGCTTTGCCTTAAATTAATTTCAAATAAAATCAAAGACTAGTTTAAAAACATACATATTTTTTTAAGTTTAAAAATAACAAATAAAAACAAATGCCTCACAAATATTCAAATATAATTTTTTCATTTGTTTCAATTTGAATTTATATTGTTTTAAATTTAATTTTGTTGTATTTTTTAAGCTAATTTGCTTATAACTTGTATGCGCTGTATTTCATTTTGATTAGAGTTTTGTGAATTGATTTAAAAGTATATAACAACGCGCAGTGTCTCATGGGAGTTGTTAATGTATACATATATATTTATGTTTATATATTTATCGCTTGTATATAGCCAATTTGTGTTTTGTTTAATGTATTTTTTGTTTTTTTGGATATGAATTTTTCATTGCTTTTTTAAGCAGTTCGCTGTTTCAATTGTCTTACAGCGTTTAACATCAATAAAATTGTTTATGTGCCAATAGTAGGTTAATAAATTTATACTTTATACTCGTTTCATGGATTAGATAAATAGCTAAAAATTTGCTAAAACTTGAATACACATACGTTTAGTATTTAATGTATATATGTGTGTTTGTGTATATAGTTAAATGCAACTGCCTTTTATATAGATACTTAAAAAGTTGTAAATGCATTCTTGTTTTTGTTTCTGTGTTTGCAGTTTGTCAAATGATGATATTCATGAATATTGTGCGTTCGATTCTCAAATAGTTTAGCTTGAAAAAAGCTGGATCGTTTCTGGAGCATTCAAACATATACATATATGGATTTATATATATTGCATAAAAAATTGTTGTGCCTTTGTAAAAAGTCTTTCTGTTGTTGTTCTCTGCGCAAGGACTAGTTTCAATTCTGATTGGAAAAATTCCAACTAAAGCTTGAACAACGCTCCATAGTTGGTCAGGCAAAATAGTTTGGCGCACAGGCTGCGACTGCGACTGTGAGTGCGATTCGTATTGTTGGCCATAGACTGAGTGGGTTTACGGGCGATGGCCAGCTCCTGGCTCTATTTGCTGCCACCGCCACCGCCACCGCAGTACTCGCCCTGCAGCATGCCATTGTCTAGGAGCAGCGACGGCGTCGTCGCAATGCCATCGCGCAGTGCCAGCTGATAGGCCACCTCGAAGGCCTGGCCCAGCGTCAGTATGATCTCGCTGGCCAGATCCTATAATGGAAAGACATTTATACATATACCGCGAGATGGGATGAGAGTTCATTATGTGTAGTACTTACTGTGCTTTGCACTAGAAACACATGACAATAGTGCATGTCCTGCTCCTTGGTGATGTAGGCAAAGTGCCGCAAATCCTCCGAATCCTGGCAGGCGCAATTGATGTTCTGTATCTCATGCTCGCAAATGACACGCTGTAAGCATCAATTGGACTAGTAAGTAGCTCTTCTATTCACCATTCCCCACACCTACCCTGCTGGCCACGTCTATGAACTCCACGCCCCGGTGGCAAATGGCCAGGGACAGCGGCGCCCCCTGTTTGTGCACCTCTTTGTTCGCCTGATCGCCGGAGGCCTTCAGCTTCTGTATTGATTTCTTTGTGGACTCTGTGCCACGCAGTTCTTTCACAACCGTTGAGCCTAGGTACTGGGGTGAGCATAGAATGATGGAAATTAGTATGAAATAAAACAATTCAATTGGCTGTTATCGACTAGGAAATACTCGTTCGGTGTTCTATTAAAGCTGATATTTTCCAAAGATCTACAAGTTATAGTATGTTTATCTAGAAATGTTTTGTCTTCTCTGAGTGTAGAAATATATAAGATGATAATCGGGGGATTATTAGAGATTTCTTACTCCCTAACAGACATCAAATCTTTTTTTCATCTGTAGAGAAGGTAGGCTATAATTTATCTAAAAGATTTTATTTTTCAATCTTGCAAGCTGAGACTGAAATTTTTGTATTATTCCCAATTTAGACAAATTCAAAGTAGACTCAATGTAATGATTATAATGGTTAATGTTCAATTTCGAGCTGTATTATTTTATATCCTCTTTTGAGTTTGATTGACTATTTGACTATTAATAGTACTCTCAAGTTCATATATTACTTTGACTTAGTAGTGGACTCGGGAGTTAGTAAATTCTCTTTTAAGTGTCTAATCTAATAAAGCACCAAATGGGGTAACTTCATTTAAATCACACAAAGAAACAGCAATACGAATATACCAATTTCACTTTGGAAGCATAAACTCACAACCGCAAGGAGTATTATGAAATTATATATTGAGTTCAGCGTACACTCACCTGGACCTCGTATTTGATGTGCTCGTTAAGAAGAGTTTGTGCCGAGTGGCGCCACTGGGTGGTGCGCATGTTGGCGGGCAGTCCCAGCAGCAGCTCGGAGGGTGCGCGTATCTGAAGTGGAGCCGTAGATGGGTCAGCTTCAATAGTTTTGAGTGCCGGCGGTGCAGGCGGCGGTGGTGCGGGACTGCAAAATATTTCATTGAATTAAGTAAATCAAATCTGGATATTCATACTATATAATCTACCGATTCTTGCGATAGCCCGTTATGGAATTCCGATGCGGCAGTGCAATCGTGGTTGGCTGCGTGGTGCCGGTGGTGGCCGCTGTGGTTGTGCCGGCCAAGGCTTCCTTGTTTCCGTTCGTTGTCATTTTGTTGGTTTCGTTGTTCTCGGCCAGCGGCGTCTTCTGTGACTTCGACTCACGCATTTGCCGGATGAAGGCCAACGATTGCAGAATGCGCCGGCGATGGCCCAGCTTGTTGATCTCGAGCACAGTTTGCAGCTCCACGTCCCAGACACCGCAGACGCTATCGATTGTGTTGTACAGGTGCTTGCTGGCAATGCAAGGCAGTAAATATTATTATACTAGTTCAGCAGGGAGAGATTCGCGTACTCACTTGAAGATCTCCAGGTATTCGGGCAGCGCGATGCTGTGCAGCCACTGCTGCAGCGTGGTCACGCCCGGCTGCTTGTTCTCCTGCTGCGTCTTGAGGGGCACCTGGGGCAGAAACTCCGCCGGCGGCAGGGTCTCCACAAAGCGCAGCAGCTTGGCCGCATCCCGCTCTGGGATGTGCAGCAGCGGTATATCCGGCTCCTCGAACACATTGCGCTAGAATGGAGAAGGCATCGACATGGTGGATCAATTGGAATCACTAGATCACTTCGAGCTTACCACAAACTTGTAGTTATCGTAGCCATTTTCGAAGAGTATGCGCTCCAGGTGCAACAGGCCCGCATTGCGCAGCCTCAGGGCCAGCTCGCGGCGCTCCGGCAGCACCTCGAGATCCTCAAAGTCCAGCTCGATGTCGTGGGTGGGCGTTATGTTCGTGTTGAGTATGCCGCTGCCGAAGTTCTCAATGATCTCGGAGATCTTCTTGCGCGCCTCCTCCGCATTGAAGGGGCTCAGCAGATTCAGCGAGTTGCGCGCTATCGAGTGACCGCTGCCAGGAGACTTTGCCGGCGACTTGGCTGGCGACTTGACGGGCGATTTGCCAGCTGATTTGGTGGGCGACTTGTCGGGCTTGTGCGTCGATAAATTCTCGGTCTCGTTATTGCCATTCGTTTCCAGCTTCACTTCGGCACTTTGCTGGGTGGGCGTGGTCGGTGGCTTCACGAACTTGCGCTCTGGAACCTGCGGCTTGGTTGGGATCGGCGGGCGCACACGTGGCGGCGGCACCTGTTGGGTTTGCACCTTGACCTCCTGCTGCTCCTTGTGCTCCTTTTGGGATGCGCCTTTGAGTAGGCCGGCAAAGGGCACATCGCTCACAAACTCCTCCACGTAGTCCGTGGTGGAGTGCGAGAGGCTGTGATCCGAGCACGAAATGCTCGAGCTGAGCGAGCCCGACGACGGAGCCGGACAGCGCGGCACCACCGTCACCGTATCATCGTAATCGTAGCCCGGCGTGCTCAGCGTCGGCAGCAGCTTCGACGGCGACGAGCCCGTCTCGATCATTAGCTGCTGCGCCGCTTGCAACTGCAGCAGCGCCGATCGCCGCTTGTACTCCTGGCTCAGTGGACGGATGCGCTCGTGTATGGTGCGCTCGGCCTGGCTAGAGCTGGGTGGCGGATGATCCGGCGTCGGAGGCTGCTTGTAGTGCGTGGGACTGCTCGGAATTTGCTGCTTCGCATCGCAGTTCTGCTCAGCGTCTTCCGTCTTATCGGCTACATTTATAGAGCTGTTGCAGGGGGCAAAGAAGGAAGAGAAAACATTTATTACATTTGTCTAATCAAAAAAAGTAAAGAGAATACATCTAAGAATCATATAGGAATAAATTATTTTCCAAAACAGGAATTTAGATTTAGATGAAGGAAAAGAAGAAAATGAACGAAGGGTATCCATCTATACTAGAAAAAGTCTTTGACTATTGACGCTTGCTAGGTCACCTGCTTTTGAGTCAAGGAAAGGAAATAGACCAGTTGTCAAACTGAAGATTAAAAATCCTAGGCATAATCTTAAGATTCACCCCAAGTCTGGTCCACTCACCAGCTGTTGCGGTTCCGTTTGAGTTTGCGGTTAGGATTGTACGATTTGAGGGTGGCACTCTCGCAGCTCTTGAGCAGTTCCTTGGAGAGTTTGGTCGAGGCGCTGCGCTGCGCCGGAATGGGTCGCTTCATGGAGTTGGTGGCATGAGCAGCGGGAGCTGGCGACTCTCCGCTGGAATTTGGCACACTTGTCTCGCTATTCAGCTCCGAGCTGCTGCACTGACGATCCAGCATGTCATCTGGGCAGATATGAAAATGAATATTACTTGTAGTCTATATTAGTTAGTGGGTCACTCACTGCTGGAGCTGAGGCTCATGCTGCCGTCCACGGCGGAGCGCGTGCTCTGCCTGGCGCTAGCGTAGAGGCGGTCGTTGCGCTGCCGCTCGCGCAGCTGCGTCTCATCGAAGCTCATGCCGCCGACGCTGCCGTGGCTCTGATGCGAGTAGGGACTCTCGCTGGCGGGCGGGCGTCGGCGTCCGGCCGCTATCGGCTGCCCCTGGCCCTGGCTGGATGGCGAGCTGTAGCCGAACTGCTGGCCCGGGCCGGCGTGCGTGGGCGAGACAGAGAGATTGCGACGCGGCGGCTTCTTGGGCGGCCCGCTGGGCGCGAATGTGCTCATCACAATGGGCTGAGCGCCGCCGCCGGTGGAGCAGCGCGAGCGGGGCGACACGGATGCCGGCTCAAAGCTGCTCAGCGACGAAGAGGGACTGACACTAAAGCCGCCGCCCATATCGCTGGAGAGAGAGAGAGAGTAAGAGAGAGATAGAGAGAGGGAGAGTTTAGTATGCTATAGCTCCACTCGGATTGGCAACTCACTTTTGTATGTGCAGCGGCGAGTGCGCGTTGAGATCCTGATAGAACCTGTCCTCGGGCTGGAGAGCGCTGTCCAGGGATTTGCCGCCGTTGTAGGGCCCGCCATTGCCGGCGCTGAGCCGCTGCTTGCTGTAGCCGGACTGCTGCATGGAGTGCGAGTGGTTCAGCAAGTGGTTGTTCGAGTTGAAGTGATAGTGGTTGTGGCTGTTGTGCTGCTGTGGCTGTGGCTGTGGCTGCTTCGAGCTCTGGCCACGCCCAGTTGTGTGGGAGCCGGCGTGCTGGCGGTAGATAACCTCGTCCGCCTCATCTGTGTCCATTTGGTGGCGAAAGTCTGGCCGGAGGGCAAAGAGTGACGGGATTAAGTTCATTTATCTGCCTGAGTGCTTATCGCATTTGCAAATTGATGTCATTGACATAATTGCATATATGCATATGGGCTATATTACGTATACGTACTGTTAATCACTGCAATGATGTGCTTGGTCACATGCGGTGGAAATTCACGCAGTATATCCAGCGCAGTGCGGCCCTCGCTGTCCGTGGCCGACAGATCGATGCCCGCCCGCAGCAGAGTGCGCACCACGCTCTCCTTGCCGCACAGCGCCGCCTCATGCAGCGCCGTGCCCGAGGGCGTCAATAGGTTCACACAGACGCCCGCAGCCAGGAGGACATCGACCACGCTCTTGTGGCCATTGCGACTGGCTAGATGGAGGCAGGTGTGCGGAAAGATGGGACGTGCGGGCGATGAGGGTGACTCGCCACCCGCTACTGCTCCACCTCCGCCTGCTCTACCGCTCTCCACTGCCGCTGTGCTGAGATGTGAAATCAGTTCGGGATGCGCTCGGATGAGCATCTGCACGGCCTGCAGGCGTCCGTATTGGGCGGCCAGATCCAGCGGCGTCTCGCCCCGCGAGTTGCGCATATTGGGATCCGCGTCGTGTGCGAGCAGCAGCGCCAGGGCGCCCGTGTGTCCGTGCTGGGCGGCACAGTGCAGCGGCGTCTCCTGCTCAATGGTCTGCAGATTGGCGTTAGCCGGCCGATACGGCTGCGTCAGCAATAGCCGCACGATGTCCGTCTCCCCGGCCCAGGCGGCCAAGTGCAGCGGCGACGATCCACGCGAATCGGGCAGATTGGTCGACGCCTCATGGGCCAGCAGGAGTCGGACGATGTCCTCGTGGCCATTGAGGCAGGCATGATGCAGCGCCGAGTAGCCGCCGCTGTCCTGCACATTGACACCGGTGCGGCGCAGGCTGGCTAAGGGCCCGGCGCGCTTGCCCTTCTGGGCGAGCACCTTTTCGATGTGGCTGATGTTGCCGTTGCGTGCCGCCTCGAGGAACTCCTGATCCTTGCCCATGCTGACGCGTGTCTGCCTGCAATTTAATGGCCATTAATGGATGTGCTTAATCGCATTCACAATCTGCGCCGAGTTGATTTACTGCAAACGAATTATGACTGTCAAGTGTGCTTCATTAAAACGCTGCAGGCTTTGCGGCTCTTTGGCTTTTTAGCTTTTTGGCTTTTAGCACGGGTCGCCTTTTAGCTCTAATGACTTTCGCATTCAGCCCAACCCCACGACTGTCTAAGGACTGCCATTACATAAAATAATATAGCACAATAAGAGATGAAGCACTCTTGTGTGTGTGTGTGTGTGTGTGTGTGTAGGTGTGCGCCCCCAGAGCCTGCCAGCCTCACGGCTGATGAAGTGCTTTCCAGCCGTTGAAATATCTTTGAGTATCTTTGATACGTGCCCTTAAGGGCGTTTACAGTGGATCACATACCCAAATGTTATTCGAATATTTCTTGAGCTCTATTCGAGCTGCATAATGTGCACATGGCTTGAGCTAATCAATTTTGCAATGGATTTAAAAAACGAGACAGAGCGAGACCAAGTTAAAGCGACGAGTGGGGAAATGGCTATATAATAAAAATGGTTTTAGACGCTGTGTTGGCTTTAGTCTGCTTTTTGCTTGCCATTATGTGCAGAATAATAATAAATATAAATAATATAATACTAATTATAGTTGGCTTGGCTTTGCTGACAGCGCTCAAGCCTAAGGCTGTAATTTGGTATGAGACTTTTCCGGGTCTTACTTAATAATGGTTGCTATATACACTAGCTTTGCTCTACTTTGAGACACAATTGAGTGAATTCATGCTCAAATTGAATTATTTTGCAACACTACACACCATAAATTATACAGTCAGAATTTTGCAGATTTATCAAACAAATATTTCGATAAGCACAAGAAAAGTTTATAAACAATCAAATGGCAAATCTCTTACAATATTTTCACATTCAAATAGCTCAAATAACCGATGATATATGGCTATACAAAATAGTATCACTCTTGTTTGGTCACCCTATAACGGCCAGCTTTGGCTTGTGCTTCTGTTCACAAATATAATGTTTACCGTTTCGTAGCCTTGTTCGTAGTATTCAAGCACACTTTCTAATTTAACTATTTAATACTTTGCATTGGCTTAACATTAATAACTTTACATAGGCAATTCTAACAATAGAGAAATTCGTTTGTAAAATTTTGTATGAAAAAAAGTGAGAGTCGTTAATGTTGGCTGATTAAAAATCGTCGTCGATTTATGTATATACATATATGTTTATGAAATTTTGTTGAACTTGTGTGAAATTTCAGCCATTGTACTCAGTCCGTCTGTGTGTTCGTCTGTCGCTTAAAATCGCTCTATGGGGAGACAGAAATTGAAAGCGCGCTGCCTGTTCGTCTGTCACAGCGGCTTCAATGCGATAAATACGACGCTGCAACAGATAATCACCTGCTTACACACGCGTTGTCACACACACACACACACACTCACACACACATGTGCTTTTATTATGCTACTATAGAATTCAACTCAAGGTAGGTTAGGCACGTCCTGGCGCCAGCAGGAGCGGGGAGAGCGGAGAGAGAGGAAAGATGCAGAGAGAGTTAAGCGTGCGCGAGAGAGCTTTCGCATGTGTGTAACTCCAGAGAGAGAGAGAGGGAGACAGAGACAGAGAGAGGGAGTGGGCGAGGGCGAGCGAGTGTGTGTATTCCTGCTCGGCCTTTGACTGGGCTACTGCCGCGCCCACCAACTAATGGGCGGGCTACGCCTCCCACTTACAACTCCATACGCAACGTTTGCTTATTTATTTATTTTTCCCGTTTTTCTTAGCCTTTCGAGAAACTGCGAGGCGTGTGCCATGTGTCATGGGGCTGAGGGGGAGTCCACGCTAGTCCAACGGAAATTGAAGTCCATTATAGGCGAGTTGACACTGTCAGAGGAGTAGCAGCAGCAGCAGCAGCAGCAGCAGTGGGAGTAGTGGGAGCGCTGTCAATTGGCTTAGCTTATGAATTTATAGTGCGCTGCCATAATTGGGTCAAAGGATATTGACCTGATATGAGGCACTTGGCAAATGGCCAGACAGCGCATTGTGTGTGCATATGGGAAAATCGGCTCCATTAGGCAGACGACAGTTAGTCTGGAACACATTTCCTGTTTCCCTAGTCAACAATTTGTGTTCAATTCGAGCTGCGGGAAAACTGAGAGAGAAAAAAAACACGCACAGTCAAAGCTGCGCTTGCTGCTGCTGCGGCTGCTGCTGCTGCACTCGAAAGGCGTGTACTTCCATATACACACACGCACATCCACTCAAGCACTTGACTACTATGCGTATATATACACACACACGAGCACGCACACTCCCACACACACACACTCACACACACATTTATGGCTACTTCACAGATACATTTTCTGACTGCAATTCGTTTAGCTACCTTTTGCGATTAGTTTATTCGTCTGTGTACACTATATACACGTGTATGTATGTGTGTGTCTTCTAGTGGTTGTTGTTGTCTTCTCGTATGTCTGCTGGGATGTGTGTAACTTTTCACTTCCGTTCGCTGGGCTGTGCACGTCTTCTTCAATTTAATAAATTTCATTTGATTGGCTTGCCGCGCCGTCTGCGTCTCCAGCACATTTCCATTTACGAAATGAGTTTGCAACGCCCGCGTTTCGCTCCGACCGCGCACACAGACGACACTGATGAGACTCTGACGGACGACTCTGACGACTCGGCCAGGCCAGGCGCTGTTGGTGACTCTGACTCTGTGACTGCGACTGCGACTGTGACTGTGACGCTGTCAGCGAGTGTCTGGGTCTGGGTTCCGTAAGAATTTCTGTTACACTTTTCACACATAGCACGGAGAGCATGCTCCACGCTCCGTACTCCGTGCTCCGTGTTCCACGCTCTTTGACTCCATGCGCCGTGCACTTTGGCTCTTGTGCAACGTACGCGCTGTCGCATCTGTATCTGTATCTGTATTTGTATCTGTATCTGTATCTGCTGAGCAGCAATGAAAGTTGTTGTATACAATACAGCACAATAAGTTTAGATATGCTCAGCGCTTTCACTTGATTGTTTTGGCTCTGCTGCCGTCACAGTCGCCGCTCTATGCGGGCCAAAGAGCGGCAGAGAGCCAGAGAGAGAGAGAATGAGAGACAGTGCTCTCTCTGCGTTGAGAATATATCATTCGTTTCTGTTTATTTACACGATAGTAGGCATTTGTTTACGTATTTTGTTGTGCTAAACTGACAGACACCACAGTCAATCAAAGCGACAAATAGAAAGAGAGAGGGACAGAGAGGCACTGCCAGAACGAGAGAGCGTGGGAGCGTGAGCATGGGAGAGAGTGAGAGTTGCAACTGTTGTAAAAATAGTATCAACTTGTTTCACTTTGTTGTCATCATGAATAAAGAATGTGGCAAGCGGAACGCATCGGTTGCCACATAAATGCATTCTATAGATATATGTATATCTATATATATATGATCATTAATCTAGCTGAATCATCACATGTCTCATAAATATAAAAATAAATTCCTGTAATCCCTCATTAATGATCAAATAGCTACAACAATTGGAGCATATAAAAGCCTGCAGAATATTAACTTCAAATTTGTTTATAAATATTGTGTAATGCAACCATACATCTGAGTTTATTAAATGAAAAAAAAAAAAAAAAAAAAATCAGAGAATATCTGAGTTTACCAATTAAATGTCTAATGCACAAATATAAATTAAACCGAATAATTCCTAAAATGTTAGGATTCAAATAAAATATACACTGACACTAAAAATTTATATATGTATATAATTAAATTTGCAAATGTTTGTAGAACTTTTAATAAACATTCAGTATAATTTAGTCATGCATTTATTTAATTTATTAATACTATTTCTTATAATATATTATTAATATTGTACTTAGTTTCATTCAATTCAACTATTAATATTAGCTCCAAAAAAAAAAAAAAAACTGATATATGTTGTTAGTAATATTTTTTATATGCCTTCTTTTTATATACATAAATATATATATTTTTATATTAAAAAATTATTATTAAATATTTAAGTTTTCTATAATAAACTTATAATAAAATTTATTTCTTTTTTTCAAGATTTTATTTTAGATTACCCAAATATTATTAGCGCTTACTCACAGAAATTAGTCCAGATATTTCCTGTGAATAAATACATAAAATATTTGATTTTAATTAATTTTTCATCTATATATGTACATATATGTCTTATTTAATAATAACTTTTTAATTCAATCAAAATAATGATTGTATTAGAAAATAATTCTATTAAAAAAAAAAAAAAAAAAAAAAATTATAGTTAGGATTTTAAATATTTACGTTTATAAACATTGCTCAATCTGCTTTAAGTGATGAGCTTGAATTCGTTATCAATGCGCGCGCACGCTCTCACCCGCACTCAATCAATTCACACACTCTCTCTCTCTCACACACGCCCTCTCTTGTGCTCTCGCTGTGCTTATTAGACATGCGTCGCACAGCCAAGTGAGCAAGAGCTTTCTTATCAATTTACTGCCTGGGGCTTTGTTGTTGTTTAGCTTTGTGCGCGTATATGTGTGTGCGTGTGTGTGTGTGGTGGGCGTGCGAAGCTTTTGAACAGCTGTTCGATAAGAGACGCTAGTTAACCCTTCGATGGCCCTCCAAATGGCCATTGTGCAAATGTATTGGACATGAATAATAGCTCGCTCGACTGCGAATGTGACTCAGTTGTGGCGTTGTTTGACCAGCGCAACACTGTGGGCGGACACACACGGCGTTGTTGTTGTTGTTACTGTTGTTGTTGTGGCATTGCCACGCGTACACAAACAAAATCGACGGATGACGGCGAAACATAGCAAAACAGACAAACGACTAACACCTACGAGCGCGACCCACCATGCGGTGGGTATCCAAATACGAGTGCCACAAATGCCACAAATATGTGTAATTGACTTGAAAATGCGGCAAGCAAATCAATCCCGCAGCACGGACTCTGGCTACAGCTTGCAGTCCGCCGCCCGAACCGACCTCAAGTGCACGGCGTGAACTCATTCTCATTCCGCGGCCAGCGCTGTGTGATTGATGAATGTTGCATATTTTGGACGCAGCGGGACGTCGCGTCGCGTCGCCTGCCGCTGGCTGCCTCCATTGTGTGGCATTAATGAGACATTGGCCATTTGTTTGACCGGACGACCGCCCGCCCATTGCCCATTACCCGTTGCCCATTGACCATTGCACTCAACTCAATGACGTTTCAACGTTTTAATATGCTGCGCTCGACTGCTAATTGCCAATCGCTGGCATTTTTGCATTTGCACAAATCGCTGAGATCGTTAAATTTTATAGAAATTGTAACACATGGGCTTGACGCTCGGTTACCTGCAGATTCATGTCTATTCGTGTAGCTGGATGCAGCTTAGAGCCAAAGCTAAAGCCACAGCTAGCGGTTCTCTTTATTACCATAAATAATTGTCAAAGGCAGCTGAAGTCAACTGCTATGCAGCCAGCCCTGGACGGACGGGTTGCTCGTATTTATTTCACCATACGGCACACTTAAAAGGCAGCAAGCCGACGACGACGACGACGACGACGACGACGCGGCACACCCCTGACGTCATGTTGGTTAGTGGGTGCAGCAGCAACAGCAACAATATATTGCTCTTGCTCTGCATTGCTCATAATAAAGACATTAGAATGTGCGATACGATTCTGGCTCAGAGTCGGCATTCGATCGCACAGTTTAAGGCGTAAATGATTTAGTTCCGCTGCATTGGCTACGCAACTTGCAATTGTGGCTGTTGTTGTTGTTGTTGTATAGCCTGGAGCTGTATCTATGACGAGCTCAACATCCGCAAAGACAAACACATACCTCCTCTCTCTCTTCTCTTCTCTTCTCTTCTGTGCGCACAAATTTAAATTTTAATTAATTAATTTATTAAAAATTTCCATTTCAATTAATATTTATATGGCATAACAATTGAAAGTTTGCTCACTATATTTTTTATTATAACCATGGAATGGGCTTATCTAAATAAAGCATTTTAGCTAATCTGTTGATATTTTATTGTCACTACGAAACATCCACATAAACTTCGATCGGTTTCGGTGTTATTTCTTTGTCATAGGACTCGGCGGTTATTATTGGGTCACTCTCATCTGTATTTTCACTGCTTCCACTTCCGACTTCAACTGATTGCTCTATGTTGATTAGGTCGGGTACGTCATCGCCTGATCCCTGGTTCAGGCTTGAAGAGCTGGTGTCATACTCCAGCTCCCCGCTGGTCATCTTGCACTTGTTGATGCACTCAATTTCGGATTGAAAGCGATTCGGATTGCCGCCACAGCCAGTATAGAAGAAGGGTATGCATAAGCCGGCGTAGGGATCATAGCCAAACATTTTGAAGCTGCCTCTGCAACGACCTGGATCGACGATCTCCCAACAGCGGACTATATGCATTCAAGATGAGATGATGGATTTGAGTGCAAATTAAAGTAAACAAAAGTATTTGGTTTGAGCTTACTCGATGTAATAAGCGGATCGCTGGGCCAGTTACGACCTTGGGCGAGCACAATGAACGATCCTACCAATGGGAGCAACTGCATGACTTCAGCTTTAATTGACAACTGAAATCAGCTCTACAAGTTCTCAGCTCCAAGCTGAGCGCTAGTTAATAACTAAAATGAAATATTATTTAAGTATTGCTTAACACTTGGCAAACGCTGCTTGCAGCTTGCTCTGTTCTCGGTGCTCAGTTCTCAGTTCTCAGTTCTCACAGAACGTCCAAATGTGGCGCTCCCAAAGGCAAAGATCGAATGGACGCTCTGACATGCAGGGAGCAGCCGCCTGGCAACATGTTGCCAATACGAATGTGGCCAGAAATGCACAGTGGTTGAATAAATATTTCATTATTCAAGAATTGCAAATAATTTAAATAAAATTTTATTATTATTATTTTTTTTTTAAATATAAATTTGAGTTCGTATTTATTATACTTTGATTTATTTATTTTTAATGTTTGTTTGAATTTATTTTGTATTGCTTGTGTGTGCCACTGTGGCTGGCATTTGGTGCTTTGACCGTCTCGTCATTGTCGCACGAGTCACGACGGTGATAAATAATCATCTGTCTAAGCAGCTTCGACTGCAGCAGTTCGAGCACAATTGAAGCTCGAGTGGAGTGGAGCAGCTGCCCTCATCCCATGTGCTTCTAATTAAGCAGCAGCAATAGCAGGTACTCGTAATTGCATAAGGAGTAACGGCACTTGCTGCTCCTGCCTGTTGGCCAAGTTAAGCGACTCGTTATTATCGCCATCGCCGTTGGCTCTCTTTCTTTCACTGGTTCTATTTATTTATTTTCGGTTTGGGCTTTGGTTTTGGCCATCTCATAGCGTAGACGGCACTGATAGCCAACTGCATTGGCAATGACATTTCAATGCATTTATGATGTTTATCTTGGGCAGCAGGCCATGCAAAGTGCGCCCGAGTGCGATGTACGATGCAGCATGCAGCATGCTGCACCGATTTCGATAAATTGAGCACGTTTTCTAAGGCAGGGCCTTTATCAAAACAACTTCATCATCATCATCATCGGTAGCAGCAGCAGCAGCCACTGACTTGGCTCGCTTAATTGGCCTGAACCCTGAAAGTACTTTTTAATGAAAAAGCAACGAAAAAGAGCAAAATAAATAAAATAAAATTCAAAATAAATCAACAAAGGACGCCGCCACGTGGGCTGCGGCTGCACTTAGATCCTGCTCATAATTCAATTTGGATCGTTGTCTCTAGCACAGATTTATTTGGCTGCTCACTCGATTAACATACAATTAGAGCATTGCTGCATTTTATTAAATACTACTCACACAGCGTTTCATATGTAAATTCAGGCATATATAAATATTTGGCTAGTGGCTTTATTATGCAAATGCAAGGTGCCTTAAATCGAAGGTCCAAGTACTATATGAGCTGCATAGCTAAATATAGGCATATATTTGAGCAGGATTTTTCTTTTTCTTTTCAGTTTTATTTTTGCTTATATTTTTTTGGAAAGTTTTTTGCTATAAGCACAAAGTTTACTGCTACACAGTGAGCATGTTGACCGTTAAGTGCCATTAAACAGGCAACTGCTGCTGCGGCATTGTTGCTGCTGTTGCTGTTGCTGTTGTGGCTGTTGCAGTTGCAGTGTTGCCGCTTTCTAAGAGAAGAAGAAAATGAAGCAGGTGCGCAATTGTCAATTTTCTTGCTAGCTGCAGGAGAAATATAGAGAGACACACAACAAAAACAATGAATAACAAGGCGGAAAAGAGGAAACTGAACATGAACGACGCTCGAATACACTTGCTGATGCCAAGGACTGCTACATGTTTGAGTAAAGGCAATTCGTGCTTTTGTAATGTATAGATGATATATAAAGTATTTATAGGGAAGCTACTAAATCGAAATATATTTCGGTTTGCTTAGGAAAAACTCAAGTTTTTCGGCACATCTTTGTCAAATGTTCGCTAGCTTTTATAACCCGCTTTCAGTTAGTGTATTTCTATATCTGATTGTTTTCTGCACAGGTTTTTATCAGTCGCATATCGGCTTGACATAGACATAGTAAGTAGCTTTTGTTGCCTGTTGTCAGTTGTTGCTGCCGCTGCTGCTGCCGCTGCTGCTGTCGCTGCTGCTGCTGAAGCGAGTGGCCAGCCCGTTGTGACTGTGATTATTATGATTGTCCAGTCAAGCATGGACGATGCCTATGCCTAGGCCAATGCCGATGCCGATGCTGCGGCTGAGGCTGAGTCTGATGCTGATGCCGATACCTATACCGATGTCTATGTGTACCGATGCCGATTGCTGCCGGCCACAGCATTGCCAAGCCAAGATTTATGACCTTTTTCTAAGCAAGATTTTTTCTTTAGTTTTTTCCATTTTTTATTTTGGCAGCGGCGCTTGTTCTACGAGCTGTTGTCTACAGATATCTCTTTATATAGCTGCATATGTATTCATATGGCATGCAATAATAACTATAATTTGCCTGATTTATGATTTGGTTTTGTGACATCAATTTGGCGGCTTGACCACGTTTGCGGCTCGATTTTATTCAATTTTAATGCAAAATTATTATTTAGCTATAGATTACAGATTTTCTGCTGCTCTATTTAGCTACTTCATAACAATTTGAATTTAGATTCAATTATGATTGGAGATTTAGATTAAAATGCGATTTGAAGAGTTTCATTTTCGATTGGCTAAGTTCTATTTCTCGTACATAATTATGGCGAGATAATTTAATATGAGACAACTTTGACGGTGCTATGTGCACTTTGAATTCATTGAAATTGAGAATTTTGGGTATAATGGTATGATTGAAATGTATATGTAACAGGCCGAAGGGACCGTGTTAGAGTATATGCATATATTCTTAATAAATATAATGAGCTGAGCCTGCCAAGCTCTGTCCACCCGTTCGTCCGTTCTTTTGTTCATATCTTATGTAAATGTACTTTTGGCTGAGTTCTTGATTAGGGTAGAAGAAGGCAGAATAATTCTCCGTTCATTTGATAGATAGCAGATATAATATTACTCGAAATCTTGTAGAGTTACCTAATTAGTGTGATATATAGGAGTATTTCCGGAGCTCTTTAAGTTATTCAAAATATTTAGCTATCGAAATAGGATTTGCCATTTGACTAATAAATCTTGGGCTTGGGCATAGTTTATAGTATGCGAATTGACCGTACAGTTATTCCATATTATGAGTTTAATATTTAGGTTTGGGAAAATTGCCGTTTGGATTTTAAGACAGCATGCTTATAGAGATTGAGTTAAAGAGACGAAAATTTGAACGTATGTCTACTTGGCCAATGCACTATGGTCCAAAATCCAGATTTTGTGGCATTAACTATAAGGAATGCAGTTACAGAGCTCAAACTTTGCACATATAACCATGTTAGCATGCATAATAAAAGAATAAAAAATTTGTGTGATTTGACCGCGCCCTCTTGACCTCCCATACTAGCCCACGCATTCCATTGCAATGGAATGAAAAAACTAAAATATAATAATATTTCAAATTGTTTTTTGTTTTCTCTTTCAGTGACTATTTGGTCACCCTCTATATAGTTATTTCTTAATGTGACTGCAGGAGAATCGTCACAATTATCAATTCTTTCTGTTTGCCTCTGCTCATAACAGTTTCTGTCAACCTTAACAAGAAATTGGCATTGCTCATATAATTGTAGATGTCAGGCGTCGCTGGTTATTTGCTCAGTTGTAGCCTCGTTAACGCAATGTCAACAATAAATGCCATAGATCATTATTTACGTCCAGGCATAGGCAGTAGCTTGAGAGAGGCTGTTGTAGGCACTGCCGTAGCAACTATTGCTGCTGCTGCTGCTACTACTGGCGCTGCTGGCGCTGCTGCTGCTGTTTCGGATGTCACATAAAGTGGGCAAACTAATTTCCGCTGTATGCTAATTAAAAGTGCCAATGGCATGACTGCCGATGGGCAAATTGCAGCCAGTGTGTCCCTAGCAAATGGGGCAGGCAAACAAGTGCCTGATCGCGGTTCTAGGAAGTGCAGCCGGCGGCACATGCTGCGCCTGGCCAAACCATGCCCAGCCAACCAGCCAACCAGCCAAGCAGCCAGCCATCCAAGTCGTTTCGTTATGGTTTAAATGAGCAATTTAACAAGCAGACAGCCTGAGCTGCAAGCGGAGCTGCCGCTGCCACTGCCACTGCTGCGGTTGCTGCTGCTCCATGTGGAGTAAGAGATCAAAGATAGAAATCTCGGCAAGAAGCGGCAGACAGTGGCAAACAGGCACACGGCGCTGGCGGCTCAGTTGGCTCAGTTAGGGCCATATTGCTCGTTGTTGTTGTCGACTTAATAGCGGCGCTTGGCGCTGTTGTTAATGCTGCTGCTGTTGCTGCTGTTGTTGCTGTTGCTGCTGTTGCTGTTGCTGCTGCACTTGAAATTGAATCTGAAGTAAAATCGTGCACATTCTGAGGCGACACCGAGATGCGGAAACGGCAGCACAACAAGCACAGAAGCCGTTAGTTAAACTGCTGCCACTGCCGGCGGCCAGCGGCCAGCGTCCAACTGCAGCTGCATCCCGATCGAATGTTGCCGCGAACCCTGCCCTTGTCGCCTGTCATAAAGGCTGCCCGGTTTCTGTTTTCTTTTTTGTTGCCTTCTTTTTTTTTTTGAGGCATATTAATTATTTTTTCGGGCTTTTGTCGTTGGCTGTCGTTGTGTTTGTTGCTATTGTTGCTATTGCTGTTGCTGTTGCTGCTCTTGAGGATATGTCCGTAGCTGGGTCTGGCTTTAGGCCCGCAGCTGCTGCATGCGCCATGGTCAAAACGCCCGCCAGCGATATTTGGGCAGAGATTTCTGCCGTTGTTGCGAATCGTGGCCAGGCATAGAGCAAAAAGCACACCAGCAATGAAATTTTTCGTACATGTTATTGTCCATGTCCCTCGGTCCAGAGCTTTGTTGCTCTAGCTGTTGTTGTTGTTGCTGTTGCTGTTGCTGTTCCGCTAATGTTGCCGTCTCGCTCGCAGCTCGAGCCACCCATGGCGGGTTCAATCGGGTTTCGTTACAGTTTTACTATGGGCAACATTGTCGAACGGCCCCTAGTTGTCTTTTAGCGTTTGGCATTTTCAATTTCATGTTTTGCCTGTTGCTGTTGCT